CCTTTCCTGAAAGAGCTTCAAAACCATCTGGGACTTCCAGGGACAGAGGTCTATTATGCTGATAAGGCCACACCGGGTGAGTTCCTGGTCAGCCTCAGGGTGGACACTCACCCCCAGAAAGCCTGATGAGAGGATTAGAACTCTGAGAGGAGCAGGGCCAATGATTTACTCAACCATGTGGACAGCAACTCCAGCATACAGTGCCTAGGTGGTGACACAGCTGATATCACAGAGCAGGCCTGAGTACTCACAGCATGGTGGTTCAGTTTCCTTAGTTCCCTTACTCACAGGGTCACTGCATAGTCTCCGCACTTGGCCTGTCTTCATTCTACCTGCCTTTTGTATTCTATTCTCAAACACTTCCTCCGCTGCTTTTTTTTTTTTTTTCCTCCACTGCTTTTTAAAAGATAACTTAACAAATTCATTCAGTTGAAAGTCTATAAACATGGGAGCATATTATTTGGGAATACACTGACCACCCCAAGAAGAAACTCATTGCATGACCATTCTGCTGCAGTTCCCAGCAACCACAACCTACTGTGTCTCTATGGACTTGTCTGGTCTGAAAGCTACAAACACACAACAGTACTTTGTTTTCTTCTTCACTGATTGCCGAACATTTGGTTATTCATACATTTAGGCTCTTACAAATACTGCTGCTATGATACTAGTGTTTGCCCCTCACTGTAGTTAAGTGCATATAAAGTAAAATTATCATTTTACCCATTTTTAAGTACCTAGTTTAGTGACACACACTGTCATACAACCATCTCACCCCTATCTCCAGAACTTCTTCACCCTGTAAACTAAATATCTGCATATATTAAATAATTGTGGGCCATGGAGATGGCTCAGTAGAATAAGCACTTGCCTGGCAAGTGCAAGGGCCTGAGTTCAATCTCCAGTTCTGCAAAAAAAAAAAAAAAAGAATAATTGATCACTTTCCTCTCCCACCAGCCTGTTGTAACAATTACTCTACTTTCCATTTTTATTACTTGAGCATTGTAGGTACCTCATGAAACAGTATCATATGATTACCTACCCTTTTGTTGTCTGGTTTATTTCACTTAGCATATCTTCAAAGTTCATCCATGGTATAGTATAAACTGGAATTTTTCTTTTAAAACCTAATATCCCACTACATGGACATACATTTTGTTCCTCCACTCATCTATCAATGAGTTTTCCAACTTTCTGTTGTAAATGCTGCTGATGAAAGGGTAAACAACTATGTGAAGCCCTATTCTCAATTTTTGGATATAGAGAAGTGAAATTGGGATATCATGTCCGCATCTTGTACAGCAATTAACCACTAGGAAGAATGTATGCAATGTGTTAATTATTGAAACTGTCCTACCAATTTGGTTTGAAACTGTCTCACTGCTATTTGTTTCTCAATAAAATTATGGGAAAAAAATAAAAATAAAAATAAAGTTCCTCATTACAAAAAAAAAGAAGTGAAATTGCTGTTGAAGTTTTTTTAGGAAATGCCAGTGTTTTTCCAAGGTACCTGTTTTTATATGAAGAATGTTTTTATATGAACACTGTTTACATGAGCACTCAGCCAACAGAATGAAATTGCTGGGTT